TGCAAAATCTGTTCAGCATTGTTAGTACGCATCTTGGCATTCTGTAATTATTTAATTTTTTTATTAAGTCGTTACAGTGGAAAAGCAAACGGATGTTCACTGTGGGATAGATGGGGCAGCAGTGACGCGTTAACAAGAGGCAAATAAGGAGAGCTCTGTTGACTGGAGGCGCTGCTCGATGTCAACGTTCGTTTGGATCTCGTGATAAAACTGCACGAATGCATTGGAATTGCCTACTCCTCACTCAGTCTGAAGTGCATAGATAAAATAAAAAGTGCCTTAAGTTTTGTATTCAGCTTGCTCCTGAGTCACCCACTATAGCCAAATTAACCTCTCACTTACAAGGAGACTCACCTATGTAAAGCAGTAGAGGCGAAAGTTAAGGGCGGAAAGTGATGAATGAGAGAAACGAGATAGTCTATTAAACTGCCCTCACAACACCGCCCCAGTGTAGCAATTATGCCAGTTGGTGAACATTTGAGTTATCGGTGAGTTAGCTTGGGAAATCGCACCTAAGAGGTGCATCACGGCTTGAAGTGGGCATCCATGTCCAACATGTCAATGCAGTGTGCATTCTCTTTGCGTCATTGCTGTCTCATTCAGTCAGGTGATAGTTGTTTTTTTTTGAGGTCTCTCGATCAACTATTGAAGAGGCATTGGCTCGACGAAACCAAGGCCAAAGCAATATCATCGCATTTTGGGTCAAGATAACAAGTCATTGAATTGTAGGAAACACAATTTTTCTCGCGATAGCTTGTTTTCTTCACCCACAATTTCTCTTCCAATGCATAAAACGCATCCTCGAGATGGAGGATAAAGCAGGCAATATTTTGCACGCTTTAGCGAAATGAACGAAAAGGACTGTGCACGTGGGAATCGCCTTAAAGGAGATCACGTGAGACCAAACCCCCGCATGTGATCGTGTGTCGGGCAGACACAAGGCAGCAAGGCGTTAAACACGTTGGAATTTGACTCACTCGAAAAAGGTCACTCTCAACTAATTCATAGGTATCTGGCTTTCCCACTCCACTCCACTCCAATGGCAATGATTCATTTTGTTAGGTTTATGGGTATTTTTGTAATTTATGAGAAACATCCCGAGCACATTGTGGGCCTCGAAAATAGAGTTATCGTAACAAGTCGTTGGAGTCAGTATGATCGCAGCCGAGGGTAGTGTCGTGAGATTCCGGTAGTAACGGCGAGTCTCTTGCGTTGCACCCGTATGAAGGCGTTTATGACGAAGCATCACTCGGTGTTCACTAATATCAAGTGCGGAACTAAATTGCAGCATTCCCAACTTAATTAGTTTGTTGCAGTAAAGCGCCTCAACAGCGCCCCAATATCCTCCCCTGCAGTGTTCCGTTAGTGCCTTTTCCTTGCAATTGATAAAATGCAAAAATGTTGACCCAATTGATGTTATGGCTTCTTCTGGGTGTACCACAGCGCAGTTGCTTGCTATCTCGTTATCGCAAACATGCACAACCACGTGCGCCATGAGTTTCCAATCAAATGGTTTCCTTCACTGCATCTTGCGGTGAGAGACAAACCACAGTTGAGAGTAAGACATCAGCACCTAAATATAGTAGTAATGCCATTTCCCATCCAACTCAAACAGGTCCATCAGACATAAATCTAAGATTAGGTAAAAGAGTACGCCATTGCTGATGCTACAGCTCTCATGGGATAAAAGCTGCGTCAGTGAGTAGTAAGGGCGGCATCCCTTCTCAAGTCAGTGGAGAATCGTGCGTGCGCCTTGCGGATGATGTTAACGCGCGCAAGTGTCTACTAACACATTCTCACTAGGGCATCTGTTTTGCAGCCCTTCTTGAGAAGAGCGGTGCCCATTCCCACAGCGTGGTTGTGACCTGTAGCAGCTCGCGATTACCTTTATGAATTTGAATTATGCATGCCTTGTTTCATAACTAAACTCTGTCCAAGCACGAACTAGTAAGTAAAACTGCTGTAGTTGCAATACTAATTTTACTGCTTGGGATGCCAGTTATACGTTGATACTTACTCAAATCGTAAGTCCCTTAGCAAGCGTACTTTTGTGTCAGCAGAAGGTACATGAGTTGCTTTGGGATTATTGGAGCGCATTTTCACCAACCAAGTTCAATTTTTAGGTTTCGCCTTTGCTCGTCATGCATGCAGTGGTAATTGCATAATCGGAGTTGCTCAAACTTCGTGCATTATCGCGGCAACAAAACTAAGTACACGCTGTAGGGTTTGTAATAAATTCTAACAAAACCTTACTTTATTTCTCAGTATTTGTACACTTAGCGGAGCTAAGTTTAAACAACCCATACCATTTAATAGACAGCGACATCTGAATTGTGAATGTTGCTTCACCCTTCGAAGGACGCCATGCCGCTCCTCCGCTGGTCTCTGAGGATACAGCTCTCAAAGTGTCTCATAGTCCTTTGTGCTGTTGTGGACTCGGAAACGTTTCCGTGTTCTGAGTGCAAAAATTTGAGAAAGGAGAGGTCACCTATTTTCCCTTCTCGCGGTCTGACAGTGATAGCAAAAATCCATATCTGCTGCACGTGACAGTGTGGCAGCCAGGCGTCAAACACAGACGCACACAGTTGCACCACCCGTTGCGCTTTTCGCGCAACTTTTGTACAGATCGCCGAAAGAAAACTACTACGTTCTGTGCCACCTCTCACTCCCCCTTAATGATATACATAACGATAGCATGCACAACGTAATGTTGTTTTTAGTCGCTTTCCGACATGCTTTTACGATGTACGCTCTTCCACAGGGAAGGGCTGCCTGTTTTTACATAGCACGACACAATGCAGACCCACTTACCCACTGTGCCTCCACAGTCCTTTGGGTCGGTAGTGCGAAAAGTTTAGTTAAAGACCTAAAACACCAACATGGAAGAGCATGCTCCTAGTCTTGCCTCCTCATGCTTTCAAACGCTTATATGCCCACAGTGGGCCATAATGCTGCAGAACGAAGATACCACTTCGACAATTGCTGCTGCACCCATTATGGAATTAGTTTGCAGAGAGTTTTAATAAAAATCGTTTCATTTATTACAGCACCATTACACCATCATTCCTAAGTGGCATCATGCCACCGACTTTGATGCCTTAAAAGATTGTATAATTGCTTATTATGGTGCACCTTTGGCCTTTCAATTTTTGAAAATCAATTTGTGTTTCGAGGAATTGAAGTTGCAACACCACGTGGCATGACGTGTTCTTTCCCACTTTAATAAAGCCGTTCTCACCAATTAAGAGGCTGCATACAACAATGGTACGGTGAAGTCTAGTCACCGTATCCTGGAGTCAATGGCCCGTAAAACTTTATTCAGGCTGGTTGTAGGCGCCTTCACCTCTCATGGGGTAGAGAAAATGTGGATGCGTTGACACAAGGCATCTTGAGTTTTTAAACACATTATGTCATGCCAACAGACCGCACTGACCTAAGGTAATAAGAAGGCTGCACTTCTACTTCACATGCTTACAAGCTTAACGGCACGACTTGTGTAAATAAATGGCACACATCGCAAACAGAATGAGATATCGTTAGTTGGGATTGCTTTACAGAAAATTGTTGTTATTCCCAGTCTAAGCACGATTCGCTATAGCATCGACAGTTAGACGAACATCTTGGAACAGAAATTAAGGACCGAAGGTATGTGGACTTTATGCCTGACGAAAATTGAATATCGCGCATTAAAGAGTGTCCAAAAGTACGTTTAGAGACGCTAACACAGTGACTGCTCACTCGCGGTGCAGCGATTTTTTCAATCTGACAGACTTTGCAATAATTCATAAAGGTTGCTCGATTGTAATGGAGTTAATTTCTAACACCAAATGGAAAGAGGAATAGCACTCACACTTTTCATGTTTCGCGATACGAGCGTTTTAAATGCCACCTATTTGATCCCATTTGCAACAACTCCATTTAATAAGAAGGGCTCAAGAATAGTCTTGAATGAAGAAAATATTTCACCATAGTACTTGGTGATAGATGATTGTCAACTCTTGACTTGTGTTGGCATTTAGCACTGGCTACAAATGGGTAAAAATAAAAGTCTAGAACACTACGTTGGTATAACGCGTAAGGCAGGAGAGAAAAAAGTTTGGGCAAGTCGAAGTACTGACTTGGAGAAGGCTGCTTCAATTAATTACAACCACGCGTTTACACTTTCTATGAGACATAAAACTTACTCCACCAACTCTCTTTTTGCACCGTTCCAAAGTCTCCCAAGTGTGACACATGAAACGTGGGCTGAAGTACCAAAATACGGACAAATTATAATATTGTCTGCTCTCCACGATGCAACAGTGCTGCACAAAAGCGAGTTGTGTCCGAAGCATACCAAAGAAGCATAAATTGTCAAGGTACGAATAGTTTACAAAACGGGTCAAGAAGCCGTCGGCAACTGATACTTGAACTTCGCGATGAGTGTGTCGTTTGCCTCCTTAATGACCAACTCCAATTCAGTCAGAAAATCCTTGAGTCTTTGATTCTCGATTTTGAGGAATTCCACTTCACGTACATCCATCAAAAAACGGTCCTTCCTTTGTGCTCTCGACTTTCGTGATGCCTCGTTGTTCTTACGTCGTCGCTCAAGATCCCTTTCGGTAGCCGTCAATGTCTTCTTTTGATTCGCCTTTTCTATTCTTGAGCTTTCCTCAATTCTTTCGGAGATGTTCTGAAATTCCATTCACTTCCGTTTAGGTTTGCTAAATGGTTCCCCATTCAGTAGTATTTTGGTACTGGAAGAATCATGCAACGTTCCTTGGATGCCCTACACACAGCCGTACTTTCACACCAATGCATCGGAGACAGGATTTCACAAAATGGAAAAGATAGCCTTTTCAAACTCACCAAAATGCTCATCAACGTCTCAGCCGGCCAACCAAACTAAAACTGGCAATACTGGACACAATATTATTCAGGGCATTAAGGCGATTGAGGACTAAAATTTCAAGAATCTCCTGCCGTTAAATAAAGCTTTGTCTTGACAATTACTTTCACAAACACTGTCGGGAAAGCTTACGAAGTTCAAGCCTTCACAACGTCTTCTACCCTCCAGCCTCTGAACAAACCTTTAAACTTCACGTTTCAGTCAGCAACGCACAACTTAACAGTCTGTCATTGGATCCTGTGCCTCTCAACCCAATCCATTTTCCACAATAAATTAAGCTCATCTAATGGATCTCTGCTAGCGACTTCCATCCGGAAACATTCTTAAAATCGCATGTTTAAATTCGAAATTTGTATTCATGAAAAAAAACTGCTCTGTGTAACAGACTTGTGCTACTAAAGCTTGATTTTCCAATCTCGAATGTAAAAAAACTAGCGGAAAAAAGTTACGCGCATTTCTAGTCCATTTAAATGGGGCAACTCTTATGGATAAAAAATGAGAG